TCTCGAGAGCTACTATATTTTATAAATGAAAATACCACTACTAAAAAGAGAATGCTATAAATAGAATTATCTCATTTGTTTCCAAAGACTATCGGTATACTAGAGAAATGCGAAAATAATAATAAAAGCAAGATATTTTGTGGCAAACTTTGGGGGAAAGGTTAGGCCTATAATGCACGAATTATCTGGAAGTCAACACTGCAGTTGCAAGCACCGCCGGCGAATATTCTCGGGGCAAATGAGAAGTGGGTTAAGGAGCTCACAATCTATAGGAGAAACTGATAGGTAAAGAGAAAAGTCAGTGCAACGCGACACATTCTCTTTTTGAGGCAAGGCTGGAGTGCTGTGGGGGGACCAAGGCAGGCTAGCATGATTGGCTCTCCCTCTGTTGGGTCAGGGAAAGTATGCTGTTCATCACAGGTTGCCCCCCTCTCCCCCCCGCCCCAATCCATGCTCCACTCTGGGAGGATGACTAATATGGACCCTGTCTTCGAACTGTCTCTTAAGTTCATTCTCTCACTTCATCCACAGATGCTTATTAGGTCCCTCTCAACTCAAGGCACAGAACCAAACAAAACTGATCCCTGCCTTCAAGTCGGGGAGACAGGTCATAGATAATCACAGGAGATATGGGAGCCAAGATATCACATTAATTGTGAAATACACAGTGAAGGAAAAGAATAGTGTGCTATGGGAAAATTGGGAGAAATGTGATATTTGTGGTAAGAACTTAAGCAAACAAGAGAGATTAATTGAAAGAAACAAGAAAATGTTGAGTCCAAATGAAGAAAAATTGAAAGAATTCAAGTTCTTTAATTCTTTTCATTATTTCAGTGTGTCTTATCCTACCAACTAATAATCATTCTATCAAAGAACTAATTTTCATCATACTTTATTGTATTGGCCATTGATTGTTTCAAGAGCATCTGCCTGTCTTATACCTCTAACCTCTAATATCCTGTAAATACCTCTAAGACATGGATTGAGATCTCTCTCTCTGTCTCTCTCTGTCTCTCTCTGTTTCTCTCTCTGTTTCTCTCTCTGTTTCTCTCTCTCTCTCTCTCTCTCT